CGGGAGAGGGCGGGCCGACCTCGTTTATGTAACAGGGCGGCGGCGGGAGCGGACCGGGGAGCGGCGCGCGGCGTCGGTGAGTCTGCAGGGCAGTTGGAGAAACGCTTCTGCGCGTGCACGCCGTGTGGATCTCTCATCGGCTTAACTGCCTTTCCGCCAAATTTGGTCTAGTGCTGGACAGAGCGTTTAATGGCTCACTTAGTACACAATTTAGGTTAAAATTAAAAGTTACATTTTTAGGAAAGAGAACCCGGATGTTGTAGGAAGCACGTTGTCTGTACCCTCCCCCTGCCCCGCGGGACCGCGCGACCCTGGCGTCCTGCCTGCGTGCTTTCGTGGTTACCGAGCTGCGTGCTGCGTGTCCCTTTGTATTTCTCCCCTCTCCTGTCCTGGATTTTCCACTGAGCCCTGCACTCGTGTTCACGGTTTTCTCTGAAGTGCTTTTGAATCTACTTTGTGTCAGGGATGCCCAGTGGGGAGCCGGTGACCCGCTGTCACCTGCCTGCCTGTGGCTGCCAGTGATTACTTACATACTCGATGCTGTGTGAAAGCTCTTCTTCACGTAAGACCTGTGGCCGCCCCGCTGGTTCATGCAGGCCTGCGCGCTTGCCCACTGGAAGCATATGGGTGTGGGCAGGAGCCGCTCCTGTAGAAATTCCGGAGGCCCAGAGCCCGCTGCTTGGCTGTGGACGCCCCAAGCTTTGGGACCTTGCTGGCCGGCCGCTAGAATATGCTTTAAATTTCAGAAGTAGATAAATCAAGCCGAGCGAGGAGGTGCATGCCTGTAATCCCAGCACTTCGGAGATGCTGAGGCAGCTGGGTAGCCAGGGCTTCCAGGCCAGCCTGAACTACGTAGTGAGACCCTGTCCCAGAAAGCCGGAAAAAGTGGGTAAATCATCTAGGCAGCAAGGAACTAGTCTAGTGCAAGCAACAATTTTAAACCCACGTGTGATTCTTAGCATTTAACTATATTTCTAAGAGCTTAATCAAAATTTGTATTTAACAGATATTTTTAGAGAGTCTAAGGTAGAAATTTTTCTAACGGACACCAGAATACTGTGTCCCTAAAGTAGTGGTTGGCAGATTTGAGAGGACCTAAGAGCCCCCGATGCAGAGCAGTACTCTTCCTAAAGTTGTTTTTCTGTACGATTATCCCTTTTCTCTTTTCCAAAACGAGCCCATTGGATCACAGCATGTCTGCAGCTCCCGATCTTAAAGAACTTAGAGAAACACTGGGCCAAAGACTCACGACCTTAAGGTGATACTCAGTTAACAGAACCAGGAAATACACTTTTTTTTTTTTTTTTTTTTTTTTATGAGCAGAATATATTTATTGAGAAAAAGAAAGTTCCTGTCCAAGAGAGGGACAGAAGGGGGGCCCGAGCCAGTATTTCCCCCCAGGAAATACACTTTTAATGTTCCAGTGATGTGTGTGTGTCTGTGTGTGTTTTGTTGGGTTTTTTTTATTGTTTTGTTTGTTTGTTTTTTGAGACAGGGTCTCACTATGCAGCTCAGACTGGCCTTGAGCTCACTCTGTAGGCGAGGCTGGTCTCAAACTCAACAGTCGTGTGTCAGCCTCCCTTGTGCTGGGATTACAAACATGCACCACCATGCCCTGCTTTTTCCAGTGATTTTTTTTATAGGAAGTGATTATCTTAGAACAATAATTTGTGTGTAGATAGCAAAATGAAATACCTTTTAATATGAGTCAATCCCTATTTCACCAAAATTAATTTGATTTTTGTTTTTTAATCTAGGAGTAGCTGTGTCAATTCAGGTTTTTGTTGTTGCTGCTGATGTTTTTTGAAACAGTCTTACTGTGTTGTTCAGGCTGGTCTTGAACTCACTATGTAGCCCAAGTTGGCCTCTGACTTGAACTTGGAGATCCTCCTGCCTTGGCCTCCCAAGTGTTGGGATTATAGATATGTACCACTACTACCAGCTTAATTCAGTCTTTAAAAAGGATTTAAGAATCTCTAGCTTTTTCAGCTACATTCAGATTCCCAGGCTGTTTGCTGCCATGAGAAATGTAACCCTTCAAGCCACTAGCCATTGGTCTCTTAAACCCAAAGAAGGAACGACAGGATTGGTCATTTGGTTTTCCTTAAGGTCTTTACATATCATTACAGCTTTTTTAATTGTAGCAAGTTCAGTGAGCAAAGGTACATGGGGATGTGACAGCCTCCCTCGACCGCCTGCCCATGAGCTGCTGCACACTAAAGAAGCTTGGAGGCAGGCAGCGCTCCGCAGCACCGTGGTGCCCAGTGGATGCTCTTATACTCCTGGAAGGCAAGATGGGAACTCAGGTCTTGGCCCCGGCCATCACGCGTCCTCCCCACCTCACATCAGCTCAGTGACCTTTGCCTTACCCTGGCTTAGCTAAGTCAGCACCATCGAGTGGAAAGGAATGTGAGCTTCAAGTATTTTAGCTTTTTAATAATAAATTGCAGAACACAGTAAAAACTAGGTTGTTTTATGTGTAAGGGGGGGTGGGGGGTGCTGGAACAGAACTTGGGACCTCTCAGGGCCAGGTACATGCTAAGCAAGCCTTCTGTTGTACTTGGGAAGTAAAAGGATGAGTGGATGCCTGCAGTCCCAGCTAGCCAGGAGGCCAGAGCGGGAGGATCTTGAGTTCAGGGCAACCTGGCAACGTAACGAGACCTTGTCTCCAATAGAAGCAGGTGAAGTTGAGCTAGTCACGATGCAAAATTAAGATCCCCTTGCTTTCCCTGCGTCCAGTCTTCAGAGTCCATTGGGTGCTGTGCACGGACTTTCCTGTTCTCGTCGTCTTCCTGAAGTAGGAAGCCACTTGGGACACACGGGGACCAGGGCATGGTTGTCACCTTGTCCTCCCAGCAAGCTGGAGGGCTGGAGAGGGCGCTCTAAATCCAGCGTTGGCAACATAACAACTTAGCAAAACCCTGCCTCAAAAACGTAAAAGGAAAAAATGTGTAAGGCCAGGGGAACGTAGCGTAGCACAAAGGCCCTGGCTCCCGTGCCCAGCACACGTGTGCACATGGGTGGGTAGGAAACCCCTCTCGGTGTCATATTTGCACACAGTGGGAGACTGCGGTTCCTGTAATGTGGGGAAATCCTCCATCATTGTAGGAAAGTGGCTGCGCCTGGAGGCCACGGCGTCACATGCAATAAGTCCGACACACAAGCTCAACTACTGGTGATTCCTCTTGTGGGAGAAGCCCAGGACACAACCACAGGGCAGGATAAAAGGTAATAGGACACAGCTCCTTCTCAGAGGGGCGGTGATGGCAGGAGGGAGAAAGTGATGCGGGGCCTGAATGCAGAACGGTGATGCGTGGCGCATGCGTGCCAGCACCCACAGGCGTTGCTCACTGTGTACTGGAAACGTGGACTGATACAAATTGGAAGGAAGGAAGGAAAAAAAACCACTTTTCAACCTATACTACTCTGAGCTAAAAATTTCTTTCTAAAATTGGAAACCGTGACTCAGTGGTGTAATATGTCAGACCTTGAGACTACGGACGGAGAATCTGTTGCCACACTTCAAGCATTAACATACTCACGCAGGGCTGTGCTTCAGATGTCTCAGGGCCGGGCAGCTCCAGCTGCAGTGATAGGAGCATCACTGTCCCATTGGGTGGCTTTTCCTTACGAGTGAAAAGACTGATGGAAGGGATTACCATGCCACCAGTGGTTCAGGCCGCTCAGCATGGGCCTTCCCTCTTCCGAAGTCCGTTGTCCAGCCCCAGAACTGTACTAACCCAATTGGTGGACTAACCCAGCGTCACACAGCCACGATCCAGCCGCCCTCCAGAGGCCCACCCATGAGCTCATGGGACTTCGGAGAGACCTCCAGCTGGGCCCCTGACAGTACCCTACAATTACAAGATGCATAGCAAATGAGCTAATTTTCCTGGATGACTGAAGACCTGTACTTGATTATTTTTAGTAGAAACAATTCCACAACATGCTGTGTAATTCCGTGGTGTGTGCAGTATACTTTATGTCCCACATTGACTGTCATGAAGGGGCCCTGAGGAGGTAGCATGGAGGAGGCCTGGGTTTAGCCCAACCCAGGGAGAGGGAGAGGAAGGAGGGTGGGTCGGTTACTAAGGCCACTGTAAGTGCAGCACGCGGGTTGCTGTCTAGTGCCAGCCCGCCGGTCTTCTTGCTCCGAACTTGTCCGTTAGAATCTGTGTGGTTAGATGGCCTCCGTTTTCCAGTCAAGGATACATGAAGGGTTGGGGAGACAGCTCCAAGGTAGAGGCTTGCCCAGGATTCACAAGTCCCCGAGCCCTGCAGAAGTAAATGCTAGGTTGGACTGCGGACCGGGACTCCACAGAGGCCCTGCCTGCGGGGACCTCAAATGATGACCAGCTCGGTTCCTGCCAGACTTGTGTTCTCATTTGTATGCTAACGATGCTTTGATATTTTTTTTAAATATATTTCATGTGTTCTTTGTAAATAAACTAAGGACTGAGAAAAAAAAAAACCTCTTACTACCCAGCCACCTATTGACTAGTTGGCAGAGGCCATAAGACACTCAATGTCTTGCAAAGGCTCGACCATGGAGAGGTCGCATGACTTCAGCTCTCTCCCCATTTGTTATCTGCTTGATTCTTTAAAGATAGAACTGATTTTTAGAGTAAATTTAGGTGCACAGCTAATTTAAGAAGAAATCAAGAGTTCCCACATGCCCCTGCCCACCATGCCCGTCCCTCCCTGTCTGCATCCCACCCTAGCCCGGGACAACTGCCATCAGCGACCCCACATTGACGTGTCCTTGTCCCCCAGGGTCCACACTGAAGAGATCCTCCTGGGCTGTGTAGGACAGGCTTGTGCTTTCGTGGACTTAGCCTGCTGCCCTGAAGCCCCTGGGATCTGGCAGCTTGTTCCTCCCTGCCTGGCCCTGGGAAGCCACCAGTCTTTGTCTTCTCCTTTTTGTGGGCGTCATATGATTGGAATCATAGTCGGTAGCCTTTTCAGATGAGCTTTTGCTTTTGTTAATATCCAGTTATGTTTCCAGTCTTCAACCTCAGTCATCTACTGTCTGAACGTACCATAGTTTGACCATTCACAGGCTAAAGGACATCTCTGTTACTTCCAAGTTTTGAATAGAGGCACTGTAAGCGTGCCTGTGCGGATTCAGGTGCATTCAGGCCTCCACTGGTAATTCTCTCGAGTAAACACCGGGGACTGCTGTTGCTGCACGGATGGTGAGAGTGGCTGGGTTCATCACGGGCTGCCAGGCTGCAGTGCTTGGCATCCTCAGCCGCGATGAGGGGCGTTCCTTTACGCCACCCCCTCGGCAGCACGCCATCTTGCCTGTGGTTTTGGTTTGGGTCGGGTCACCCTGTCGGCTGTGAGGTGCTATCTCATGATCCTGGTGTGCGGTCCCCAGTGTCGTGGGTGCTAAACATCTTCCATATGATTGCTTGCTTGCCGTCTGTGTTGTCCTCGGGTGGGTGTCTGTTCAGGCTCTTGTCCATGCATTTTTTTAATTGGATTGTTGTGGAACAGAAGAGTCTGTTGTCTGTTGTAGGTAGCAGTCCATTGCCAGATGGGTATTTTTCTCCAAGTGTGTGGTTTTTCTCCTTGTTTTCCTCACATCTTTCATAGAGCAGAAGTTTTGAAACTTAATGTCCAGGCTATTGATTATTCTTTAGTGAGTGATGCTTTTGGTGTCCTCTCTAAAAGGTGGTCTCGTGTCCCAGGTCATCTGACTTCTTCAGCTGCATTTTTCCTGCTGGCATTACCACACTGTTTTTTGTTTTTTGCGGAACCGGGGATTGAACTCACACCCTTATGTTTGCCAGGCAAGTGCTTACTCTACTGAGCCATCTCCCCAGCCCCTACCACACTGTCTTGATGACTGTGACTCTACAGTCGATCACGAAGTCAGCCAGCATTGTTCTTCCCCCTTTCTTCTTCAACATAGAGTTGGCGACCCTGGATCTCTTGTCTCTTATAAACAGTAGGGTGAATTTGTCAGTATCCACAAACTAACTCTCTGAGGTGTTACATTGGACTAGATCCCCAGCACACACGGAGGGGAGGTTTATTTGGCTGTCAGTTTGGGGGGATTCAGTCCATGCGTGGCCAGCTGCAGAAGCGTAGCAGAAGGGCCTGCAGAGCAGAGCTGCGTAGTTCATGGTGACTGGGGGGGACTGGCGGGGACAGGGACAGTGCCTGAGGCCCGCTCTGACAGTTGCCTGCCCGCCAGAGACTCTAGAGGACACACTCCTGGTCCTGTAGGCAGCTCCCAAGCCAATCAAGTTGACAGTCCTGTTACGCTACGTAGCAGACACTGGTCAGGAACGTGTGGAACAAGTAGACCAAGTTGAGGAAAGGTGACATCGTGACAGTGTTGACTGCTATCCAGGACATGGGATGTCTCTGACCACTTAATTAGCTGTGATTTCTTTTATCCAGGTTTTGTGGTTTTCCTCATCTAGATTTTGTATACGCTTTGTTAAATTAATACATGAGTGTTTCATTATGGAAGATGGTACTATAAAGGGTAATGTGTTGTTAATTTCAAATTCCACTTACTCATTTGTGGTATCTGCTTAACTTTTTAAGCAATTGGTGAATGCCTGGAAGTGGACATACGTACGTGCTCAGAAATGCTTCGCCACCTGAGACCTTTGAGGAGGTAAGCTTTGAGTTTGCTTTTCATTGGGGGCCAAAGCAAAAACCCTGCACTTCATAAAGAAAGCTCATCATTTGCAGTGAAGCCAGTTAGTACTTTTTAGTAGATTGTGGAGGAGAAACATTACTGGTGCTTGGTATTTCTCGTGGCATAATAGATCTTGGGTTTTTTGTTTTGTTTTGTTTTTTTATTTTTTATGCTTTTAGTACAGGGTCTACAGTGTCTCATTACATAGATTGGACTCGTAGTGATCCTCCTGTTTTCAGCCTCCCAACCACTGGGTTTACAGGTGTGTGCCACCACACCCAGTCTCCCCATCTCATGCACCCCAGGGGCAGGGCCAACACAGCACGCTGGGGATTGAACCCCAGTTCCCACGTCTGTATCTGCATGAAAGATTTTGAAAGATTGCAGACTTTCTGTTTTACATCTGCAGTGTTTCCCTGCAGAGTAGGGTCAAAGCCTGCAGGGTCATAGCAGCCTGCGCCCACGGGACAGGCCTTCACGGCACGCAGGAGCTCAAATGCGGACGCTACGCAGGGGCTGGGGGCTGGGGTGCGGCTTCGCGTGAGACCCTGGCCCAGTCCCCAGCACAAGAGAGACCCTGGCCCAGTCCCCAGCACAGGAGAGACCTTGGCCCAGTCCCCAGCACAGGAGAGACCCTGGCCCAGTCCCCAGCACAGGAGAGACCCTGGCCCAGTCCCCAGCACAGGAGAGACCCTGGCCCAGTCCCCAGCACAGGAGAGACTGCTGCGTCGTTGAAATGTGTGTTTCTGGGGCTGAGAGTAACCTGCCGCATCTTCCTCCAAGGTTCTGTCTGGAGCAGACCCACCCCCACTGGCTCCACTACTCTCGGGCCTTGTCGGGAGCGGAGGCCGTCCACGCCCTGAGGCCTTTCTACTTTGCGGTGCACCCAGACTTCTTCGGACAGCACCCCAGAGAGAGGGTAAGCGTCGGTTGGTGCTTGCCCACTCGCTTCTCATCAAGTGTGCTGCGGAGCCCTGTGAGCCTGCATTCGCCTGTCACGGTCATATGGTCAGTGCTCCCGAGTGGCGTGAATATAGCAGACACTGACTTTCACAGGAGTAAATTTTCACATTAGTCTAATTAGTAAAAATGCAGGGCCGGGGAGATGGCTCAGTAGGATAAGCGCTTCCCTGGCAAGTGCAAGGACCTGAGTTCAATCCTCGGTTCTGCCAAAAAAAAAAAAGGAATCTAATTAGTAAAAATGCAAAATACCAGAAATTGATAACATGACTTTTTTAAATGAAAGCTGTCATTGAGTATGTAGACATTTCATTTTATATTTTTACATTTATCCTTTTGTAGTGCTGGGGGCTGAGCCCAGTGGCCTGGGCTGCTGTGACCATGCACATTGCAGGCAAAGGCTTGGCCTCCCTGCTCGCCTGTGATCGGCCCTGCCTGCTAAGAATGAACTGTAGACCTGGGCTATGGTGGTGCACACCTGTAATCCCAGCACTCGGGAGGCTGAGGCAGGAGAATCACTGAATTGGAGACCAGCCTGGGCTGCGTAGTGAGTTCAAGGCCAGCCTGAACTGCACAGTGAGACCTTGGCTCAACCGCCCACCCCAGAAAACCATAATGGGAAGGGGACCAACAGGAAGAGGGAGGGGGCAAGGGGCCATGACGGGCAGTTAAGATATGGGTGTACTAGCACTGGCACCTCACACTGAGTGTCATCTTTACTGCTAACATGGACTAAGAAAGATGACTTGAAAAAGAATCTGGTAAGAACTGCCAGCAGCTGGGTGACGCCAACCATGTGCTTGGTGGTGAACACCTATTTTCCTGCGCAGAGCCCTGGGCCGGGGTGAGTACGGGTGTGTGTGGCTGACCCTCAGGGGAGCCCGCAGCGCCAGGGCTCCTGTGAGCGTCCCTGACTCCTCACACCGCCCGCGGCGCAGGAAGCCGGCTGCCGCCCCTCATGGGGCTTGGCTCCCCTTCCCTGCTGCTCTTGTCCATATCCGCCTTCTGTTGTCTGAGTCCTCATGGCAGGTACAGCAGCTCTCCTGACACATCCTCAAGGATCCCCGCACCCCGTGTGGTCGGACGCTGGCTCTGCCTGCTGCATGTGTCGCCTACCTGCTCTGGGCCAACCCTCGGCAGAGCCGCCCCCTGTGTGCTGGGAGCATCCTCCCTCCAGCCAGCCACCACCATCCCCGTTTTCTCATGGAGTGTCACTCGCAAGTGGGCTCTCTAGGCTTCCTGTACCGACTGCCACCCACCCTCCCTCCTGTGGTCCCTCCCCACCTGGCACTGTGGCACTTTGTCCAGTGTGTCCTCCCATGGCCTGTCACCCTGGTAAGGCTCGGTGCCTGTTTCTCCTCCTAAGCATGGGCTCTGTGAAGTGGCTGTGCTGGGTCCCTGCTCCCTGTACTCCCAAGGGCCCGTGGCTGCCCCACAGGGCGCTGCGCCCTGGCCTCTGGGCTGGACACTCCAGCCACAGGTGGTCCTGCACCAATGTCCAGTTGGTGATTTAATCCTCCTTAATTTTAAAGTGTGCAAAATATACAGGTTTTAAAAGTCAGAGCTACATACCAAGCTTCCTGAGGTCCCAGCTCCGCCCCGCTCTGCTGCCTTGTGTGCACAGTGCTGACAGGTGGCTTCAAGGCAGGGC